GGGTGGATTTGGGGTGAATTTTGTCAGATTTTGTGTGAATTTTGTCAGATTTTATGTGAATTTTGTCAGATTTTGGGGTTATTTTGACAGATTTTGGGTGAATTTTGTCAGATTTTGGGTTATTTTGGGTGATTTTGGTGTCACCATAGAGGTTCCTCCTCTACGGCCGCTACTGCAGCCAGGTGGAAGCGGCCGCGCGGCGCCTGGACCAACTGTCCACCTGCACTGACCTGCGCATGAAGCTCCAGGTGAGCCCCAAAAAACCCCAAATGACCCCAAACTGACCCTAAAGTGACCTCAGTGTCCCTGTTGACCCCAAACTGACCCCAAATGTCCCGAAAATTAACCTAAATGACCCCAAATGTCCCCAAATTGACCCAAATGGCCCCAAAGTGACTCCAAATGACCACAAATTACCCCAAACTTACTGCAAATGACCCCAAAGTGACCTCAGTGTCCTGCTGACCCCAAAGTGACCCTAAACTGACCCCAAACTGACCCTAAAGTGACCTCAGTGTCCCTGCTGACCCCAAACTGACCCCAAATGACCCCAAAATTAACCTAAATTACCCCAAATGTCCCCAAATTGACCCAGATGGCCCCAAAGTGACCCCAAATGTCCACAAATTACCCCAAACTTACCGCAAATGACCCCAAAGTGACCTCAGTGTCCTGCTGACCCCAAAGTGACCCTAAACCGACCCCAAACTGACCCTAAATTACCCCAGTGTCCCTGATGACCTCAAAGTGACCCTAAACGACCTCAAATGATCCCAAAATGACCCTAAACTGACCATAAATGACCCCAAACAACCTCAAAGTGACCCCAAAGTGACTGCGAATGTCCCCAAATGTCCCCAATGTCCCCAGGAGTGCTCCCAGCGCGCCAACAACGGGCGCTTCTCGCTGCGGGACCTGCTGATGGTGCCCATGCAGAGGGTGCTGAAATATCACCTGCTGCTCCAGGTGACACCGGGGACACACCTGGGGACACACCTGGGGGGAGGGACACACCTGGGGACACATCTGGGACACACCTGGGACACACCTGGGGGGAGGGACACACCTGGGGACACACCTGGGGACAGCTGAAATACCACCTGCTGCTCCAGGTGACACCGGGGACACACCTGGGGGGAGGGACACACCTGGGGACACACCTGGGACACCTGGGGGGAGGGACACACCTGGGACACCGGGACACACACCTGGGGACAGCTGAAATACCACCTGCTGCTCCAGGTGACACCGGGGACACACCTGGGGACACACCTAAGGGGAGGGACACACCTGGGGACACACCTCATTCCTGATGTTCACCCCGTTCCCGTGTCCTATTCCTGATGTCCATCTCATTCCCAATGTCCCGTTCCCGATGTCCATCCCATTCCCAATGTCTTGTTCTCGATGTCCCGATGTCCACCCCATTCCCATGTCCTGTTCCTGATGTCCCAATATCCATCCCATTCCCAATGTCTCGTTCCCAATATCCACCCCATTCCCAATGTCCCGTTCCCAATATCCACCCCATTCCCAATGTCCCGTTCCCGATGTCCATCCCATTCCCAATGTCCCGTTCCCGATGTCCATCCCATTCCCAATGTCCCGTTCCCGATGTCCATCCCGTTCCCATATCCTGTTCCTGATGTCACAATGTCCATCCCATTCCCGTGTCCCGTTCCCGATGTCCACTCCATTCCCAATGTCCACCGCGTTCCCATGTCCCGTTCCTGATGTCCATCCCCTTCCTGACGTCCCATTCCCGATGTCCATCCCATTCCTGATGTCCATCCCATTCCTGATGTCCATGCCATTTCTGATGTCCATCCCGTTCCTGATGTCCATCCCATTCCCAATGTCCTTCCTGTTGCCGATGTCCATCCCATTCCCGATGTCCATCCCATT